GGGCCCAGCTGGGCCTCCAGCTCCCGCTTCTCGGAAGCTAAGCGCGACACCCTGGGTGGAGGGGAGAGGGAGAGGAGCTGGGGGGAGCCGAGAGGCACGGTCCCTTCATCCCCATTCCCGCCGGGGTGGGCACGCACCACCATTTCACCTTCCCCACAAATGGAAACCCACCACCCCCAGCTGCCCCCATGGTGCCATCATCTCCCCTCCTCCATTTGCCCCACATGACAAGGACTTGGCCACATGACCCCCATCCCTCCCACCGGAGGACACAGCTGTGTTGAGTTCTACTTCCCAAATAGATCACCGATCCGTCCTTCTCCACACCCTCAAAGCCTAACCCCGGGGTCCCAGCCTCCTCTGGCCCCTTGGCCGGTCTCACTGCTTACTCACCAGAGGACCCTCTAAAATGCATACAATCAGGCACTACAGCGCTCAAAATCCTTCTCTGCGAAAAAGATGTACACACAGGCTACTACTTGCAGCACTTTTTGTAATACCAAGAGAGTGGAAATAACCCAAATATACATCAACAGGGAACCAGTTGAATGTCTATGGTACATCCATTAAAATGTGTGCCACACACCCCTAAGAAGGAACAGGAAGATCTCTATATCCTGTCAGGGTATAAGTTTAGAAACAGTACAGAAAAAATTTTAGTATGTCTCTGTGTAAAAGAAAAAGGGAAATTATAAATTATAATGTTCATATTTTCAAAAAAAATAAGGATAAATCAAAAACTTTAAAAAGGGAGGAGCAGAGATGGCAACAGGGATAGAAGCTGGACCTCTGAATGTACCCTCCTTGTTAGTTTTGAATTTGGAACTATGAAAATATTTTATGTAAATAAATGTTAATAAAAGCAATCACTAAAATTTTTAAAAGAAACTGGCTCAAACAGATCTAACTGTAAATCAGAGTTAGTGCATATTGGAGAATTATGTCAAGTGACAAAACACACACACACATACTTTATTTCAGCAAGTAGGAAATAAGTCTAAGGAAAAAACTGCAAAGAAATCTTAAACTTCATTCAGTACTCTTCGTATTAGTAATTATATTGGTGTCGTTAGGATAAAGAAAATAATTATGTTACTATAACTAGAAATTAAGATTTTCAGTATGAGAAAAGGCATACACATCGAAGAGGTGAACATGGACATCATTTTTCTCTTTCTAAAAATGTATCTCCTTTCAGGCTCTTCCCACTAACAAGGCCTAAAAGTAATGTCAACCCCATGGCAATTAGCACCCCTCATAACCAGACTGTGCTCTCTAAAAACAGTTTTCCCACTCAAAGAAGCCACAGCTCCTTGGGGAAATTACTTAAACCAGTTCTGAGGCTGGAAAAGCACAAGAAAGTCCAAGACATCTTGACAGGCCAGAAAACAGCCTCCCAAAATACACGCATGCCAGACCCCTAGGACCTGTGCATGGCACCTTATGTTGGGTCGAATTAAATCAAGGACCTTGCCCGGCCAGAGTGCCTCAGCTGGTTGGGCATCATCCTGTGCCCCAAAAGGTTACCAGTTCCATTCCCGGTCAGGGCACATGCCTAGGTTTTGTGTTCAATCCCCAGTCGGGGAGCACAAGGAAGGTAACCAATTGATGATTCTCTCTCTCTCTCTCTCCTTTTTCTCTAAGCATGTTCTTGTGTGAGGATTAAAAAAAAAAAATCAAGGAACTTAACATGAGGAGAGTATAAAGTTGCCCTAAATATAACCAACAAGTGTCCTTATAAGAGAGAGGCGGAGGGAGATTAGAAGAGGAGAAGGCAAGGCCACTACACAGGCAGAGATTGATTGGCATGAAGTGGCTACAAGCCCAAGGAAGATGGCAGCCACCAGCTGGGAGAGGCGAGAACTGGGTTCTGTAGAGCACTGCCCAGCCAACACCTTCATCTCATCCCAATGACCGCGATTTCAGACTTCTGGTCTCCACAACTGTAGCGGAATACATTCCTGTTGTCTCAAACCACAGTTTATGGTCATTTGTCAGAAAGCCATGGGAAACCAACATAGCATCAATTCGTTTTAAATTCATGCGTTCATAATGATAGTAAAAAACTAGACAAAACTCATCGATCTCCATGGAGGATGTAAGGCAACCAACTAATTATTCTGACCAAAGTTAAATAAAGTAAAATAAAAATCAAGCATTAATCATGCCTTTCCCATAGGAAATGTACCTCAGGGAAGCGAAGTAGTTGATGAGAGAATGCTTTTCTTTAATGATGAATCCCCGCTAACAAAAGTATTAGAGAATTAGATTATTGCCCTTTAAAACCCCTAATAAAAAATCCATCTAGCCACTGATTGTCAATAGCTGCTAAAACTATATATTAACTCAATGGTTATCACCTGGCCTGAAAATCAAAATCAATTAAAGATCTGAAATATAGAGAGAGATGCTTATGTTTGGGGCAAAATACTGAATTTACCCTTTGCAATCAAGACCAAGACAAGGATGCCACCTATCTCTACTTCTCAATGTACTGGAGGTCCTCGCAAGTGCAATGAGGCAAGAAATATAAACGAAAGATAAGGATTGAGAGGGAATTAGCAAAACGCATTTGTAAACATTGAAAATCAAAAAGAATCTACTGACAAGTAAGACATTTGACTGGTTACTAGATATAAAATCAATATATAAATATATAAATATCAATTATACAAAAAGCAGTATGATTTACATTTAAAGTAAAGAAACCATTAACAAAAGCATCTAAAGCAGTGGTTCTCAACCTTCCTAATGCCACGACCCTTTAATACAGTTCCTCATGTTGTGGTGACTCCCAATTTTATTGTTACAAATTGAACATAATTAAAGCATAGTGATTAATCACAAAAACAATATGTAATTATATATGTGTTTTCCAATGGTCTTAGGCGACCCCTGTGAAAGGGTCGTTCGACCCCAAAGGGGTCGCAACCCACAGGTTGAGAACCACTGATCTAAAGTGTGATGGAATAACATTATTGAGACATTAAATGAGATATAAACATAGAGAAACTGTTTATAGATTGGAATACATACTACAGTATTTATAAAGATCTCAGCTCTCTCCCTAAATAGTTCTATTGATTCAATGCAATGCCAATCAGATTTCCAACAAGTTTTTTGTGCTTGTACTGAAAAACCTATTGATTCTAAAATTTATATGGAAATGCAAATTGCCAAAAATATATGGAGCCCTGGCCAGTGTTGCTGTTCAGTGGTTAGAGTGTTGGCCCATGAACCGGAGGATCTCAGGTTCATTTCCAGTCAAGGGCATGTACCTGGCTTGCAGGTTTGATCCCCAGCCCCAGTCAGGGCAAGAACGGGAGGCAACCAATCGATGTGTCTCTCTCCTTCCACTCTCTCTAAAACTCAATGGGGGGGAGAGGGGTAAATGTGCTCACGTGAAGATTAACAACAAAAATATCTTGAAAATGAAAAACAAAAGGGAAAAACTTGCTCTACCCATATCAGACTAATTACAACGCTACAGTAATTAACACAGGATGGTACTAGAACTAGGACAAACAAATAAACCAATGGCCTGCAGAGCACAGAACCCCACTATGTATAAACATGACCTGTGATAAAGGCGACAATGGCTGAGCAGGAGGGAAAGGACACTTTTCAATAAACGGCACTGGGAAAGGCCCTCTACCTCACCAAAAACCAATTCCAGGTGGACATGAAAGTGAAAAGCAAAACACAAAGAATTACCGATGATGACATAGGAGAATGTCTTCATGACACTGGGAGAAAAGGATTTTAAGTTAAGACATAAAAATTACTAACTGCAAAGAAAAATTTATAAATGAGTTTACATAAAAATGAAGAACCTCTGTGTATCAAAAGACATTATTAAGACAGTGAAAAGGCCAGGGGAAGGAGGGTTTCTGAAACACACAAAATTAACAAAGGGCCTATGTCCAGACTATATTAAGAACTCCTGGAAAGCAATGAGAAACAGAGGACCAGAAGAAAAACGGACATGATAGGTGAATAGGCAACTCACACAGAGGAAACCCAAGTGGCTACTAAACAGGAAAAAGTGCTCAACCTCCTGGGTAGCTAGGGAAATGCAAATGAAAACCACCAAGAGGCCCTAGCCGGTTTGGCTCAGTGGCTAGAGCATCGGCCTGCGGACTGAAGGGTCCTGGGTTGGATTCTGGTCAGGGGCATGTATCTTGGTTGCAGGCTCGATCCCCAGTAGGGGGCGTGCAGGAGGCAGCTGATCGATGATTCTCTCTCATCATTGATGTTTCTAACTCTGTCCCTCTCCCTTCCTCTCTGTAAAATCAATAAAATATATTAAAAAACATAAAACACCAAGAGATGCTGGGCTGATGGGAACCTCATGGGAGAGGAGCCAGCTCTCAACATCAGATCTCATCAGTGCCAGCAGCCCTGGCAGGAGGCAGGTACGCAGCACCACCAAGTGTCTTTCAAAAACCTCAATCTGATTAGCTGACAGGTTTGATAACCACCTCACCAGAAATACGAAAAACAGAGTAATACATTAACTGTGGAGATAAAATCAACAGAATCCAGACTGTAGGAAACTCTACAGGACAAATACCCTGGCTTCTTCCATCAATATGTCACATGAAAAAAGGGGGAGCCTGCCCTAACCGGTTTGGCTCAGTGGATAGAGCGTTGGCCTGTGGACTGAAAGGTCCCAGGTTCGATTCCGGTCAAGGGCATGTACCTTGGTTGCAGGCACATCCCCAGTGGGGAGTGTGTAGGAGGCAGCTGATCGATGTTTCTCTCTCATCGATGTTTCTAACTCTCTATCCCTCTCCCTTCCTCTCTGTAAAAAATCAATAAAATATATTTTTAAAAAAAGAAAAAGGGGGAAACTAATAAATTAAAAGATTTAAGAAACACATCAACCATTGCAATGTGTCCCTATATTTGGATATTAATTCACACAAGCCAATTACAGAAGACATGTGTGAGACAATGCTTCTGCTTTTATTTTAAATGTCCTGTATGTTAAAGACACATATTGAACTGTTTACGGAGGAATTTTTTTCTCAGGGGAGACGGGGGAACATAGACCAAACAAAGAGGGGCAAAATGTCGTGACCACTGAGGCCAGGGCACAAGTACATGCACATTGTACTACTGTCTATTTCTGTGTGTGTTTGGAATGTTTCCTAATAAAATGTTTCTCAAAATCTGTGGCTCCCCCAAACCCTCCAAGGAGCTTCCCATTCAGCCCCTTCCAGCAGACATCCCCTCCCCGACTCCTCCCACCTTCCCGCCCCGGTGCTCCAGCCAAGCTTCTCTTAGCAAATATGGCTCCGCCCTCCTCCTCCAGGTGGAAGGACTCCACTCATCCTTCAAACATCACCTCCCAGGGAGGCCGCCGGCCCCCAGCCGGGCTAGGTCTGTCCCTGCTCTCCCGGCTCTCTGTACATTTCCTTCCTGGCTTCCTCGCTGGTGTTTATCAGTGTGATCATCTGTTTTCTGTCTGGATCCTCCCCCCACGAGGACAGTCACCGGCTGTCTGGCCAGTGGGAAGGAACCTGGGCTCTGTGACCAGGCTGCCTACATCCAACTCTGCTACACTTATGACAAGCCGGGTGACCTTGGGCAGTTTCACTTCTCTCTGTGAAGTGGGACAATAATAATAAAATACCTATAAAGTTGTAGGAATCTAGGAAGAGTGCTTAGACCAGGTCTGGCACTGATTAAGGGCCCAAAAAACATTCATAGTGCTGGGTGATGTGTCTGACACACAGTATGAACTCGTTAAATATTGGATGAATGAACGAATAAATCTTGGAGTCTTCCCAAACTCCCTAACTCCATTGGAAAGCAGCGGCCACTGTCAAGCTGTGGATCTCAGTGCCGAGGGCGCCACCTTGTGGCCATCCTGAGAAACACGCACGCGGGCACACGCCAGGCCTGGGGCAGCTCCTGATGAACTGAAGGTGAAGCTCATCCTGCTTCCAGCCTGCACAATTTGCTATTGTTATTACTATTATTATTACTATTACTATTATTACTACTAGTAGTATTACTACTATTACTATTATTACTATTATTACTACTACTACTATTGCTATTGCTATTACTATCACTACTATTGGTATTACTATTATTACTATCATTATTATTACTATTATTATTACTGTTATTGCTATTACTATTACTATTATTACTATTACTGTTATTATTACTATTATTACTATTACTATTATTGCTATTACTATTATTACTATTATTACCATTATTATTATTACTATTACCGTTATTATTACTATTATTACTACTATTACTATTATTGCTGCCCGCTCCTCCCGGGAGACCCACAGGGCTCTCCAGCCCCCTGAGCTCTCACACCCGGAGGGAGAGGCCTGGTCCTCCCTGTCGGCACTGAGCACTCAGTCCTGGGCTAGTAGCTGCCAAGCGTGCACAGTGGCGCCCTCGCCGGTTTGGCTCAGTGGTTAGACCGTAGGCCTCCGGACTGAAGGGTTGAGGGTTCGTTTCTGGTCAAGGGCATTATTCCCGTCAAGGGCACACACCTCAGTTGCAGGTTCGTGGGGACACGTTTGGGAGGCAACCAATGGATGTGTCTCTTTCACAAGAATGTCTCTCTCCTCCTCCCCCAAATCTAGGGAAGAAAATATGTCCTCAGGTGAGGATTACAAAAAAAAAAAAAAAGAGTGCACAGTGGCTGGGAACCCAAAGGGACTTGATGCTGGCTGCCTGGATTCCAGTTCTAGCCTGGCCATATTAATCACTGTGACCTGCGGCAGTTCTCTACCCTCTCTGGGCCTCAGTCTCCTCCTTGTAAAATAGGGATGACAGCAATGCCTCCTTTGTGAGGATCGAATCATAAAGCACTGAGCGGAGTCCCTGGCACCCGGTTAAATGCTTAAAAACATTCGCTACTGGTATTACTATTACTATTATTATTACTACTACTATTAGCCCCCCCCCCAAAATGTGTGGGGCCTCCCCCAGGTAGAGACCGAGTCCCCAGTTCAGCTCCCCCTCAGCCCACAGCACGCAGCAGGCACTCAATATGCCCAAAGCCTTTGCTCACTTCACTCTTTCAGGCCCCTGTTCTCACCACATTCCCACCTAACACAAGGCCTTTGCACATGCTGTTCCCTCTGCCCAGAACGCTCTTCCCCAGCCCCTTCTCTGACCCACCCCAAGACCCGTCAGGTTCCGGTGACAGCCTTCCATAGCACAGGCTCCCTTTCCTAACCATCTCCCTTCGCAGTGATACACTCCGGTGCGTATGTATCAACACCCATCTGCCCCTGTGGGGGTCACTCACAGGAGGGGCAGGGAGGGCACCAGCACAAAAGCACTGAATAGAGCACTTCCTCCCACCCTGTCTTTGCACATGCTGTTCCCTTTGCCTGGAATACCACCCCTTACCAGGCCGGGTCAGGTCCCCTTTCTGGGACCCCCCACCCTGCCCACGCTGCGTCTTCACAGATCTGTCTCCCCCACGGGCCTGGGAGTCCCAGGAGGGCAGGGCCAAGATTGTCTCGTCACCCCTGTGACCCCAGCACCACCCAGCACAAGGCGGCCAGGGGAAAGCTCAGAATTAATATCTGGTGAATGATGGACCGCCTTCCTCCCAACAGTGCTGAGCACAGGGCCCTGCAGTGCATGATGGGATGTGTCCCCGCCCACAGCCCCAACTGCCCACCCCTCCCAGACTCACTGCTCCCGCAGGTGCCAGATCTCAGAATCCCGGGTGTCCCGAGGGTCCTGGCCGTCCAGCCCTCGAAGGCGGCCCAGCTCCTCCTTCAGTGAGCGGATGATGCCCTGAAGGAACACGGGGTCCGGCTTGCCCTGGTACAGGAGGGGCAGCGGGTAGTGAATCCTGAGGATTAGAACCGTGGCATCTCAGAGGCCAAGAATCCCGAGGGTATCTACCAGACCCTGAGAGCCTTGGGGTACAAAAACACACAATTCCAACAACTTCACCTTCCCAGAGGCTTACGTTCCAAACACAGCTTCCAGCCCCTCCCTGCCCCCTTTGCACCAGTCAGCCCCCCTCCCCCACAAGAACCTCTTATATAGCAACTGTGGAACCCCTGGGTCATGACACTTGCAGCCAAGCACAATCCTAACTGAGATTCCATAGTAGGCGACTCTGGATAACCTGGCCTGGTCCCCTTGGCTGGAGAAAGGTAGGGCACCTTGATGAGCTGCCCCACCAAGCGCTACTCATAGAAGACTGATAACTTCCCATTAGAACAGTGGTTCTCAACCTTGGCTACACATTAGAATCACCTGGGAATCTTTTTAAAATCCTGATTTCTGGGCCTCCAGGGGTTCCTGAGGTCTAACCACATCCTCTCCCTCTGCCCACCTAGAGCCAGCCTGGACCTAAAGCCAGTCCTTTGTCCCACCTGTCAAACTCCACGGAGTAAATGAGAATCAGGTAGCGCTTGGAGTTGAGCTGGGCCGACCTGGAGGCTGAGGGACCTGGGCGGCCCCCCATCTTGCGGTTCCGCAGGGACTCCAGATCTGTGTAGGTCAACAGGTCAAGGGTGACTGATTCGCTGCTCTGTTGGGAGAAGGTGGGAGGAGCTACCACAAGACTCAACAAGGCCATACCAGAGCTCCCAACCCACTCACTGGGCCATGCCCTGACCTGTTCCAGGAGCTATTTGGGCTTTCCTAAGCGGCTCCTGATGAACAGGATGGCCCTGTCCAAGGTGCTGGCACAGGACATCGTCAGAGGGAGAAACTAGAAAGAACTAAATGCTCAACCACCGGGGACAGCTTGGGGCTGTTGGCTGCCCACGTACTGCCCGCCAACCCCTGGGGATCCCTGAGACCCTTTCCGGGAGTCCAAGAAGTCAAAACAATTTGCATTAATAAACAAAATTAAGCCCTGACCAGTTTGGCTCAGTGGATAGAGCGTCGGCCTGCGGACTCAAGGGTCCCAGGTTCGATTCCGGTCAAGGGCATGTACCTTGGTTGCGGACACATCCCCAGTGGGGAGTGTGCAGGAGGCAGCTGATCGATGTTTCTCTCTCATCGATGTTTCTAACTCCCTATCCCTCTCCCTTCCTCTCTGTAAAAAATCAATAAAATATATTTTTAAAAAAATAAACAAATTTTTTAAAAATAATAATAAAAATAGTCACTTAAATAAATGTCTGACAATATGGGAAAAAAAACAATTTGCATTGTAATATTAAGATCATTTTGCCCTTGTGCTGTGTTACACTAATGGTGCAAAAGTAACGGTGGGTAAATATGCTGGCGCCCATTAGCAGAAATTCAGCCAGTGGCGTCAAATGTGCTCGTAGTCACTGTACATGCCATGCCGTCTCAGTGGGGGACCAGGAAGGCGAAATAAGCAAACAGACAGACAGACGGACAGATAAAACACAGGAAATGAAACCTGGGAATATTTTTGATGACGCTGTAAAATGTATTAATTTTATTGCATCTCAGCCCTTACGTGCACAGCGTCGTACTACCCTGTGTGACAAAACGGGCAGCACGCATCCCGCTGCACCCCAGTGCGACAGCTGTCTCAGGAAAGCACTGTGCCATCGAGTTCTGAGCTAAGTTGGCCACTTTTTCACGAAACGCTATTTTTACTTGGAAGAACCACTGACAGACAAAACCAGGGTTACTCAGCCTTGGGTGTCTGGCAGGCATTTTCTCAAAAATGAACAGAGTGAGGCTGTCACGTCCAGAAAAACAGCTGACAGGACTGGTTGCCAAGGATAAAATTCAAATGTCAAAGCGAAAATGGGAATTTGGGAAACCTTGTATCTGCACAGCCGCGGGATGTTGACAGACTTTCCTGGTGAGATCAGTGAGGATGGTAACAAATGTGACTTCCCGGTGTGGTGTAAGGACACGTGACAACACTTGGAAGAGCTGCACAACTCAATGAACCAGGATTTCCAAATGACCAATACGTGATGTCACAAAATGGGTAATAGGTCCAGGCAAAATGCAAAATACACCAGTAGGTTTTAGTGTAACAGAATACAAAAAGTTCATTGCTAAGGTTTCAGATGCCACAATGCAACCAACCTTTAAGAAACCACCACCTGCTGGGGAGGGTGTGTGGGTGGGAGGAGATCAACCAAAGAACTTGTATGCATATATGCACAACCCATGGACACGGACGATGGGTGGTGAAGGCCTGGGGTGGGGGGCAGGGGCAGGCTAGCAGAGGTCGATGGGGGGGAAAAGGGACATGTGTAATACTTTCAACAACAAAGATTTTTTAAAAAGAATAAAAGAAAAGAAAGCACCACCTGTCCAGTGTTAGCTAAGAAAGATATGCACAATTATCTGAAAAAAACTATGAAAGGACTCCCTTTCGAACCACACACCCACGTGAGGCAGATTTTTCTCCACGTACTGAACACAGGGGAGAACCCAGCAGCTTCCTGTTAGCAGTTTTAAAGTGACACCTACATAGCATTCCCTTGTCACTCTAAGTTTCAACCAGCGCTTTTTTTTCTAGTACTACTTTTAACTACTTGACATTATATATTTTTTAAAATATATTTTTATTGATTTCAAAGAGGAAGGGAGAGGGAGAGGAGAGAGAATCATTGATCGGCTGCCTCCTGCACGCCCCCTTCTGGAGATCGAGCCTGAAACCCAGGCATGTGCCCTTGACTGGAATCGAACCTGGGACCCTTCAGTCTGCAGGCCAATGCTCTACCCACAGAGCCAAACCAGCTAGGGCTATATATATTTTTTAGTTGTCTGTCTCTCCCACTAGAATGTCAGCTTCATGAAGACAGGGACTTTGTCTTTTTGTTCACTGTTGTATCCCCATGCCAACAGCAGTTCAATGAAATGAATGATTAGCTATATTCACTAATGTAACTAAATTTTTATGAAATATTGTTGAATCTTACAAAAGCAGGTTAGAGAATACCTTGGGAAATATATCAACTCAGCTTCATGAAGACAGGGACTTTGTCTTTTTGTTCATTGTTGTATCCCCATGCCAACAGCAGTTCAATTAATGAATGATTAGCTATATTCACTAATGTAACTAAGTTTTTATGAAATATTGTTGAATCTTTCAAAAGCAGGTTACAGAATATCTTGGGAAATATATCAACTAGCCCTAGCCGGTTTGGCTCAGTGGACAGAGCGTCGGCCTAAGGACCAAAGGGTCCCGGGTTCAATTCCGGTCAATGGCACATACCTCAGTTGCAGGCTCCTCCCTGTCCCGGGCCCTGCTCGGAGTTCATGCAGGAGGCAACCATGTTTCTCTCTGTCTTTCCCTCTCTCTCCCACCCTCTGTAAAAATCAATGGAAAAATATCCTTGGACAAGGATTAACTATATACAGGACAAAAGTACTAGTAGATTTACAGTTGTTCGTATGAAAAATAATTCAATAATTAATAGATGATAATAATACAAGAATAAACTCTGTGTTTTGCGTACTCACAACTGTAAACCTACTTTTGCCTCACCCTGTATAATCATAGATGTGTAAATGCACACACACATACACACACACACAGATTCACAAATGAATAGAGAAATGAAGAAATGACCACATTTTCACCAAAATATTACCAGGAGCATTAGGAGTGATTTCTTTCTTCTTTACATTTCTCTGTGATCTGAATCTTCTACATGAGAATAATTCTCATTAGAATCAAAAAAAGCCATTTATATTTGGGAAAGAAGAAGAGAAAGCGATAGCCCTGCCCCCTCAATGAAAGAGAAGAGAGAAGGTCTTGCATACATCAGATGGGCTTCTACCCCCGGCCCCCACCCTGGTCCCTACCTGGGTGAGGGCCGACTCCAGCATGTTACAGAAGATGCTGAACTGTTTGAAGTTCCCTGTCTTGTGAGTCAAGTCTTCGATGACTGGGTGGGGAGAAAAGTCCTTCCTGAGGTCTGACACTTGCCCATCCCAGGGCGATGCATCCAGGCTTCCTGACTTTCCCTGACTCCAGTGCCTCCGGCCTGAGGGAGGAGCCCTACACCCCCACCCACCTTAGAGCTTCTGGTCAGGCCCAAGGGGCAGGTGGGCAGGACCCCAATGGCCTCATCTTCTAGAAGCTGATCCCGGGGAAGAACAGGCCAGCCCACCCCCGGCAGGCACACTCACAGCTGGCATCGAACTCGCCCCGCCACTGGTCAGCCGTCATGCGGTCCTCCACCTCCAGCTCCAGCACCTGTCCCGACACCACCACCCGCACGGCGTGCTCCACACCCCGGAAGACGTAGTCCACCTGCAGGCCAGCCGGCTGGTCCATGGCCAGTGTCGCTGGAGAAGGGAAGGAGACAGAGACGCAGAGGGGCTGAGTGCCCAGGCTCAGGAGCTGGACGGTCAGCACTCATTTCCTGGTTCTACCATTTACCAGCTGTGGCACCTTAGGAAGGAGACTTTGCCTCCATTTCCTCATCTGGAAAATGGGTATAAAAGGGCACCAACCTCATAGAGTTGACGTGAGGATTAAATTGGCCAATACACATAAAAGCACCTAGACGGTGCCCTGCACATTACAATGCCCAAAACATGCTGGCTGATAGAATATATGAGGTCCAACAAGAGAATCATGATTAATACTATTATTTATTAATCCTTATGTTCATTTTAGATTTTTTATTATTCACTCATTCATTCAGCAAACATTTGCAGAGAAAACTCCAGCTGGAAAGGGGACGGAGAGTATTGAGGCCGGGCGGGGCAGAGATTTCAAACAGGGGTGAGGGCAGACCTCCGTGGGAAGCCGACATTTGAGCAGGGAACTGACGGAGGGCAGGAGCGGCCACGTGACGCCCCAGGGAAAGAGGCCCACGTGGCAAGAACAGCCCGTGCTACATATTATCAGTGAAACACTAAGTCGTGCACAGTGAGTTAAAACTTGATTTTATTAGTTAGTCTGTTGTAAGCATAAGCACCTTCCCTTAGCCGCAGAGCTACTACTCACGGTTGGAGCTGGAAGAGAGAGCCAGGCCTCCGCCTCAGCCTGGGCTCTAGGTCCGGTTCACAAAGGCGGCCCGGGCTGCCTGGGCTCACCTCTAGGTGAGCTGTGTGCAGGGACATGAGCAAGTGACTTAACCTCGCTTGGAGCCAGATTCCTTACCTTTTTTCTTTTTTTTATTGATTTTTTTTTTTTTTTTTACAGAGAGGAAGGGAGAGGGATAGAGAGTTAGAAACATCGATGAGAGAGAAATATCGATCAGCTGCCTCCTGCACACTCCCCACTGGGGATGTGCCCGCAACCAAGGTATATGCCCTTGACCGGAATCGAACCTGGGACCCTTGAGTCCGCAGGCCGACGGCTCTATCCACTGAGCCAAACCGGTTACGGCGGATTCCTTATCTTTAAAGCAGGTGCCACCCTGGGTGCTGGGATCTCGGGATCAGATGATGGCCCTACTGTCAGGGAGGGTGGCAACAGTCAGAGGGAAAGAAAGGTCAGGTAGTGAGGAAAGGGAATGCTGGGGTGGGGTTGCTCCTTCGGCTCCGGTGGCCAGGGAAGGCCCTCTGAGCAGGGCCGGGAGGGAGAGGGGGGGGGACAGGTGAACAGCTGGGGAAGAGTGTCCAGGCCGAGGGAACAGCCAGGTAAAGGCCCCAACGTGAGTAGTTCCGGGTTTGTTCTAAGAACAGCAAGGAGGGCAACCTGAGGGAGGGAGAGGGTAAGTGATGAGGGCAGGGGTGAACGCGCCAGATGACGGTCGTGCAGGACAACTAGGCGGGAAAACACTGCCCATCTCCTTAGACTGGTGAAGGGTGAAATGAATGAATCATGTTAAAATCCTTGGAGAAACTGGGCCATGCCTGACACACAGCAAACACTCAATACAAACTGGCATCGTCATCATCGTCATCATCATCATCATTATTGCTTCGTTGTTTCTGAGCTTGAAAGGGACTATAGAGACAAGGCAAGTGCATTCCCTCCCCAGGGTACGGACAGGGAAACTGAGGCTCAGCGAGGAAAGGGGCCCTGTCCAGAGTCCCAAAGCTGCTCCAAAGACAGGGCCACCCAGGGCTGTCCTCAACCCCCCTCATGCAGACCCCTCCTGACTGATCTTCTCTCCCCATCCCCTCCTTTAGTCCTCCCACTTTCCCCAGCAGCTCCTTCCCAACGTCTGATATCGGGAGATGTCATATTGTGAGGGAGAAAGAGATGAGCCCTGAAACTCTAGGTCAGTGATTTTAACTTTTTACAGCCCTGGAACCTAATGAGATCTCTGAACACACACACACACCCCTCCCCCGGCTACCCACTACCACCCCACTCCCCCGCCGCCCAGATAAATGAACAGGCCCATAACTTTTGCAATTAATTTCAGGGGCCAAGAACATTGCTTCCAGGCTCTCATCTACAGATCCCCTTTCTCAAAGGCCCAATGACAACTGTCTGAGCCCCACATGTCCTCACAGGCACCTGTCCCTAGACCCAAGCTCTTTCTCTTTTTTTAATATATTTAATTGATTTTTTACAGAGAGGAAGGGAGAGCGATAGAGAGTTAGAAACATCGATGAGAGAGAAACATCGATCAGCTGCCTCCTGCACACCCCCTACTGGGGATGTGCCTGCAACCAAGGTACATGCCCTTGACCGGAATCGAACCTGGGACCCTTCAATCTGCAGGGCGATGCTCTATCCACTGAGCCAAACCGGTCAGGGCTAGACCCAAGCTCTTGACTTCATTGGCAGAGGGGTCTCTGGTCTTGGAGGGGCTCCTAAAATCTGGAGACCTCTTTCCCCGGAAAATTCACTCTTGCAATTGTGCTTTCATCCTCTGGGCAGTTCAGAGGTCCCTACAACTACACATTTCAATGTATCACTCATCCCCTGGACCCCAAAGTGGGTTCCGTGCAGTGCTGGACCTGTCCCCCCTCCCTCCTAGCCCCCCTGCCCTAGACCCCACCCACCCTGAACATACCCCACCCCAGTCTGGGATTCCCTGGGCCCAGAGCCCCTCCCTCCCTTCTCCTTCCCCCAGTCCCCACGCTGACCCTATGCTTCTACCTGCATCCTCCATCCGTGCTCTGTGACCAGTGGCCCGTCCTGGTGGCTGGTTTTGTTCCAGTCCCAAGTCTCTCCTAGCTCCTCTTCCCCTCTCAGCTTCCAGACGCCCATCCCAGCCAAGCCTTCAAGGGTTCATTCTTGCCAACCCTCAACACTTGAATATTGTGCTCGGTGTGGACACCCCAGAGCCCCACTCTGGCCCACACACAGCAATCAGACAAGAAGAAGAAATAAAAGGCATCCAAATTGGAAAGGAAGAGGTAAAACTGTCATTATTTGCAGATGACATGATACTGTATACAGAGAACCCTAAAGATTCCACCAAAACACTACAGAACTGATAAATGAATTCAGTAGAGTAGCAGGATACAAAATAAATATCCAGAAATCAGTGAATTTTTATACACCAGTAACGAACTATCAGAAAAGAAAATTAAGAAAACAATCCCATTTACAAGTACATCAAGAAATAAAATAAAACACCTAGGAATAAACGTAACCAAGGATATAAAAGATCTGTACTCGGAAAATAATAAGACACTGAAGAAAGAAATTAAAGATACAAGTAAGTGGAAACAGATACCATGTTCATGGATAGGAAGAACGAACATCATTAAAATGGCCATACTGCCTAAAGGAATCTATCAATTCAACGCAATTCCTATCAGGATACCAATGGCATATTTCACAGAACTAGAACAAATATTCCAAAAATTTATATGGAACACAAAGACCCAGAAGAGCCACAGCAATCTTGAGAAAGAAGAACAAAGTTGGAGGACTCACACTACCTGATATCAAACTATATTATAAGGCCAAAGTAATCAAAACAACATGGCGCTGGCATAAAAACAGACATACAGCCCTAGCCGGTTTGGCTCAGTGGATAAGAGCATCAGCCTGCGGACTGAAGGGTCCTGGGTTCCTTTCCAGTCAAGGGCACATGCCCAGGCTGTGAGCTCAATCCCCAGCAGGGGCCATGCAGGAGGCAGCCGATCAACGATTCTCTCTCATCATTGATGTTTCTCTCTCTCTCCCACTCCCTTCCTCTCTGCAATCAATTAAAAAAAAAAAAAAAAGACTTATAGATCAATGGGACAGAATAGAGAGCCCAGAAACCAACCCATGCCTTTATGGTTAATTAATATTTGACAAGGAGGCAAGAATACAATGGGGAAAAGGTAGTCTACTCAACAAATGGTTTTTGGAAAACTGGACAGATATGTGCAATAAAAGTTAAACTAGACCACCTTCTTACACCATATACAAGAATAAACTCAAAATGGACTAAAGACTTAAATGTGAGACCTAAAGCCATAAAACTCCTAGAAGAAAACGTAGACAGTAAAATCTCAGGCATTTCTCATAACAGTATTTTTTCTGATATATCTCCTATGGCAAGGGAAACAAGAGAAAAAACTCAACACCAAAAAAAAACAAACAATCCAATTAAAAAATGGACAAAGGACCTGAATAGACACTTCTCCAAAGAGGACATACAGATGGCCAATAAACAAATGAAAAGATGCTCAATGTCACTAATCATCAGAGAAATGCAAATTAAGACCACAATGAGATATCACCTCCCACCTGTCAGAATAGCTATCATTAAATCAACAAACAACAAGTGCTGGTGAGGATGCAGAGAAAAGGGAGCCCTCCTATTTGGTGGGAATGCAGACTGGTACAGCCACTGTGGAAAGCAGTATGGAGTTACCTCAAAAAATTAAAAATAGAACTGCCTTATGACCCAGCAATTCTACTTCTGGGAATATATCCGAAGAAACCCAAAACAGTGATTCAAAAGAATATATGCACCTTGATTAAATTTATTCCTAGGTATTTCATTTTATTCATTGCAGTGATATTTATTATAGCCAAGATTTGGAAGCAGCCCAAGTCTCCAAAAATACAATAGTGGAGCCCAGCCTGCATAGCGCAGAGGTTGAGCATCGACCTGTGAACCAGGAGGTTGTGGTTCGATTCTGGTCAGGGTATGTGCCTGGGTGCCCAGTGTGGGGCGTGTGGGAGGCAGCCAATCGGTGGTTCTCTCTCATCATTGGTGATTCTGTCTCTCTCTCCCTCTCCCTTCCTTCCTGAAATAAATAAAAATATATTAAATTTTTAAAATAAATGATAAAAAAGCTGTGGTACATTTATACAATGGAATACTACTCAGCCATAAAAAGGAAGAAACCCAACCCTTTATGACTTCATGGATGGACCTGGAGAGCATTATGCTAAGTGAAATAAATCAGTCAGAGAAAGACAAGTACCATGATTTCAGTTATATGTGGGATCTAACGAACAAAATAAACAAAATAGAAACAGACTCATACAGATACAGAGAACAAACTGACAGCTGTCAGAGGGGAAGGGGGACAGGGGCTGGGTGACAAAGGTGAAGGAAGTAAGAAAAGGAAAACCTCATAGACAATAGTATGGTGATTACCAGAGGGAAAGGGGGGTGGGAGAGGTAGAAGAGGGTAAAAGGGGCATAAATGGTGATGGAGACTTAACTTTGGGTGGTGACTACACAACACAATATACAGATGATGTATTATAGAACCGTACATCTGAAACCTATATACTTTTATTAACCAACTAGAGGCCCGGTGCATGAAATTCGTGCACGGCGGGGGTGGGGGGTGTCCCTCAGCCCAGCCTGCACCCTCTCCAATCTGGGACCCCTTGGGGGACATCTGACTGCAGGTTTAGGCTCGATCCCTGTACTAGCAGTCGGACATCTCTGTCGCAATGAGGACCACTGGCTCCTAACTGCTCACCTGCCTGATCACCCCTAACCACTCTGCCTGCTTGCCTGATCGCTCCTAACCGCCCTCCCCTGCCGGCCTGATCACCCCTAACTGCCTCTGCCTTGGCCCCCAGCCACCGTGGCTTTGTCCAGGAGGAGGACCGGATGACAGGAAGATGTCCGGTCAACCTGGTCTAATTAGCATATTACCCTTTTATTAATGTAGATGCTGCCTCAATAAATTCAATTTTAAAAAAGGAATAAATAAATAACTAAAAAGAAAAAAAAGAATCCCAGTGGATATAAAACACACACACACACACACACACAAAACACTAACATATGTCAGGTGGTGATGTTATAAAGAAAACTCAAACCAAATGGTGAAGGGCCAGGGAGTGACAGAAATGGTTTCAGCTTGGCTGGTCAGCAAGGGCCTGTTGAGTTGACATTTGAAGAAACCTGAAGAAGGGGAGGGAGAAGCCATCCAGTTAGGCACCTGGGGAAAACACGATCCAGAGGGGACAGCAAGCCCATTCTCCAGGTGGGATTGTAGTTGCCATGTCTGAGGGACCATGAGGAGGCCAGGGTGGCTGAAGCAGGGTGAGCAAGAGGGAGTAGGAGGAGTTGAGGGCAGGGAGGAGGGGAGCTGGATCCAGTGGGGCCTTGTGGGCTTGGCAACAACTTCTGTGGGAGGTGGGAGACGTGGGAGGATCTGAACAGGGGAGCAACATAGACCGGCTGGTTTTATCCAGCCCCCCCTGAACGTGGGGTCAAGGGCAGAGGCAGGGATCCCAGTGAGTTCACTGCAACAGACCAAGTAGGAACAGGTGAGGGCTTAGGCCAGCGTGGCAGCGAGGGAGGTGGTGAGTGGTGGCTGGGTTCTGGGTGTGTTTTGAAAGTAAAGCAGATGAGATCTGCTGACCGACAAAGCATATGTGGGCCTTTTGAGAAAAAGGCGGAGTGACGGGAAACTCCCAGGTTTTTGTCCCGAGTTCCTGGAAAAATGGAAATGCCACAAACAGGGTTTGGAAGTTGAAGGGGAAGAAACCCTGAGTTTGGTTTGGGACAGGTCTTTCAGGTCTGCTTGTCAACTGGACTTGCAAGTAGAAAAGAGTCGGCCATTGGATATGGATTTCACCGCGGACAAGCCAGACTGGAAATCCTATATAATAAAAGTCTAATATGCAAATAGACCGAACCACTGAACAACCTGTGGAACAATAGGTCGCTATAATGTGCACTGACCACCAGGGGGCAGATGCTCAATGCAGGAGCTGCCCTCGGCTCCCAGGCCAGCCAAGGGGGGGGGGGGGGCACCCCATCACTCCACCGGTGGCCCTGCAGATCAGCCCTGATGCCCTGCAGATCAGCCCTGATCACCAGCCAGGCCTAAGAACCCTACCCATGCACAAATTTTGTGCACCAGGCCCCTAGTATCACCATAAAGACCGTCTGAACCCCAAAAGCTGCGTGAGGCCAGGTACAGTCGGAGCAGAGGTCATTCTACCCATGATGGAGCTGGGGCACAACGGGTTAAATCACTGGCCCGAGACACCTTATGGTTCAAGGGCAGGGCCAGTGGCAAAGCCAGGATTCAAACTCAAGCAACCCAAGGCCAAAGCCTTACCCTCAGTAGGGTTGTTAGAAAGTTTAAGGAGTTAATTCACATGACACACTCGATAGGCGCCTTGCACATGCTCAGTCCTCAGGAAAGGCTGTGCCTCCCCCTCATTACAGCACACCCCGGTCTCCGGAGGCCTCGCTCCCTCTCCCCTCAACATTGCATGTGCCCTGCACCCCAATCAAAGCCTGTACCTCATCGCAGGGGCCTCCGCCACCCCATAGCTGTGCAATAATAACCTTCTGCCTTAAAACCGCCCAGGAAATCGCAAGGCTCTATTACCAGGGCATTTCTCTATTTTACCATCTGCTGCCTCCTGCTTTACACACGTTCCCCATTAAAGATCCTCCCGCGAAACACAAAACATCCTCCGACTCACAAGCTGCCCTCCGACTCAGCGCCCTCATTAAAGCGCCCACCCGTGTTAAAGGGCACCCCCCCTCCCGATCCCCACACAGCGGGGTCAGCTGCCTGCCGCAGCCCACTCC